ATATATATATATATTATTTATTATTATTTATTTATTTTTATTTATTTTTAAATTTTATACATGAATTTACTTCTATGATTCATAAACCATAACTTTTATCCCCATAAATTTTTTTTTATGAGTTTAACAATTGCTTATTAAACAATTGCATGAGTAATAAGTTTTTTCGATTTTTTACAACATCAAAAAAAGATATGTTTTTTCGATTTTGTGTTATATCTTTACAATTTTGATGTGTAAGTTTTACCTATGTATATTTTTTTTCTTTGATCATGCTTGCTTCTTCCATAGATTGTTAAGAACACAAAATATTAAAAGGTCAATGTAACAATTTGTTTTACTTCATTTCCTATTTGTAATTTTTTAGATGCTCATTTTTTAATTTTTTGTGGATGACAAATTTGAAATTTCAAATATTTAGACTAGTAGTTGTAAGTTAATCTTGCTTTTTTGTATGTATTTACAATTTTCACTTCTTGTAAATGTTTTCAAGTTTGACTTTGTAGTTTTTGTGTAATTTTTAGGCTTAGGTGATAAGTTGATACTTGATAGCTAAGGGTTGTAGGTGAAATGTCTTCCTTGGGTTCAAGTAAACAATGTGATCTGGGTTGGAAATATGGATAATGTCCCAACGCTGATGTGAAGAATAAAGTAGCTTGCAAGTTTTGCATTAAGGAGTATAATGTTGGCATTGATAGATTGAATAAATATTTGGCCAGCATAAGAGGGGACGTAGCACCATATACTCAAGTCCCTCCTGAGGTTAGGAAAGAGATGTTGGATCATTTAGAAGGGGCTCAAAGGAAGAAAGAACAAGTCAGGAAGGGATATTAAGACATCAAGTCCTCTGTAAATATCCATGGAATAGATGAAGATGCAGAGGGAGAAACCTCTATATGTAGACCAAGTACCATTGGCATAAGAGATGTTGAAGAAGGGGGGCTATTGATACATTCTTTCAGCCTCCCAATCCCAAGGTGGGGGTTCGCGAAAAGGAGCTGGCACATAGTAGTTTAGAGAGCCAGTTGGATAAGCAAGATAGAGAAAGGGTGAATTAGTATGTGGCTTGATGGTCCTTTCAAGTTGGGTACAACATTTAATACTGCTAGTTTGAGGAGTTTCTATCTATGTTTGAGGTAGTGGGGTAGTTTGGCATAGGATATAGCGACCCTACACCTTATGAGCTTAAAGGACCTTTGTTAAAAGAGGTGGAAGTAACACAACCTGATGACCCACAAGGATTCTCAGGGTAGTTGTGGGGTGACTGTTATGATAAATTAGTTAATTGCCCCATGGGAACTATTTTTTTGATGTCCATTGATTCATCCAATAATATTCATGATGTCGTTTTCATATATAATGTTGTGAATCAGTGCATTGCAGAGGTGGGGGATGCACATGTTGTGCAGGTCATCATAGATATGGCTATGGCCAATCTGGCAGCTGGTAGATTGTTGGAGATTTTGAGGCACACATTTTCTGGATGCCTTGCGTGGCTCATTATATAACAATCATTCTTGAAAAATTGCGACAAAGAAAGCAGTGCATGAGATATTAGAAAAAAGTCAAAACCATAGCTATTAGAGTTTTTATTTACAGCCACACCCATGTTTTGGCATTATGAGGAAGTT